AACAATTAGGACTAAAGCCTAAAGGTGTTGCTTTCTAACAGGAATTGGCTTAATGGTTTCCAATAGAGATCACTAGTTTCCTGTAAAAGATATACATTTGTATAATATGCATTAATATGTAGGAAACAATGTTTTCATTTATTTTATATTTTAATGATTTTATTGCATTTTATATTAACCTTCACTTCATTGGGAAATCTGTGATGATGCATGTCTAAACATTCTTATTTTATAAAGTATGACAAAAATTAAACATGTTTCATATATGTTGAGAGCATTCATATCCATATATATATACAGTCTTATGCACAGGTTTGGGCACCAAAATATCATATCTTATATAACATAAATGAGCAATATGTGCAATCTATATATAAATAATATCTTCTGCCACATATTGTTGTATATATGTCATATACATATGTTTGTATTTGTTGATATATGGTTCAAAATATATGTCCCATATTTGAAAACGGCCAATTTCAAATAAGTCACCATATATATCACATATATGTCAATATATGTGCACTGGATAAAAGGGAACTGCATAAATGTTAATATATGTCACATATCTGAAATCCATATAGTACCTAATATAAGATTTGTGTGGTACCTCTATGGTATGAAAAATATTCATTTTGGTGCAGTTAGCAAGCCAGCTAATTCGTCAATAAACAAAGGTAAACAATTGTACCAGATAATTCTCCAGCTGAAAAAAACACTGGTTGACCAGCATACCAGCATCCAAACCACAGCCTGCTGGTTTTACTGGTGATCAGCTTATCAACACTCATTGCTGCTGACCAGCATACTGGCATCCAAAACATAACATATGCTGGTCTATGGTTCTATGCAGGGTCCATTCGCACATACAGCTGCAAAAAAATAATTATAATAACTGGAGTGTTTGGCAGGAATGGAATGACAGATGTGTGCAGCAGGGCTTAGCCAAGCAGCTAACCTTGAAGTTATGAAGCAACTAGCTCACCTACCATAAATAGGAAAAACACCAAAACTGTAGATAGTTATATAATCTGATACAGTCTCCCAATTGACTGCATGTCATGCAAAGTCTCACAGATGGGTTTATTTGTAGCCACTGAAAAAAAAATGTTTAAAAGTTTGTGCCGTGACAGTGACGAAATTAGCATTAGCACCCCCTATTTTGGATCTTCATTGCTGCTCCTTACGAAACTCTGCCCCAACTGCCATGCAAAGGATTGTCCACAAAATTTATTCAGCCTGGAAGTTTGGGATGTAAATTCGCTCATCATGGCAAATTCCACCGAAATTAACACATTTTCGTACGTGAAATTTTGCTGACAAAAAGCTACTGTTCTTAGGTCTTTAGTCTGGATGAAAAGTTCCTCTGTCCACTGCAAGTTGTAAAGAAAAAATTACAAAAAAATGACAACAAATCACTGCTATACTGATTTTTCTTGGACAAATTACTAGCAAAAAGTACTCATGCTATCATATATGCATTGACTGATGTGGAGGAAACAACAAAACCTATTCATAAACAGACATTTCACTGTGCATCCACATCTATGTCATCACCATAATGAGGCACAAGAGGTAAACAGATGTGTTCCCACCGCTTTGAGCAGCTCGTTCAGGGACCGCTTTGGACCCTCAGCACAGCACATGTTAATAACCCAGCCAGAAGCCCAGTTTGGGGGCAGCCAGCTGCAGGACACAAAACATCTGTTTTGCCTCTGCAGTGTTGTCTCTGCTGCTAAAGCTTTATTCCAGCCTCTGCCCCTAATTAAACAAGCGCCTGCGTTAGTTAACTAAGTTTACAATGCGTAACGTGATTCGGACAGATGTGCTAGTCGTTGGCTCTCTTAAGCAGTTGTAGAGGCTGCAGGCTTTACTGCTGCATGTGCATATACTCCACCCTAAAATAATCTCAGACACGTGGAGTATCAGGGTTAGTATTTGTGAAGGAAATCTTTTAGTAAAAATGTAGATATGCTTCAAATACAAGATTCTTAAACCTGCCTTTCTCTTCTTTTTACTTGATTTTCTATATATTTTTTCAATTTCCAAGTCACTGCATTTCTCAAACTGTTTCCAGTTGTTAGGAATCTCAAATACATTTGTGGTTTCTGACATTGTATGATGCACTGTTACCACTAAAAGCGGAAAAAAATCCAAAAAAAAAGCTTCAAAACGGCTACTACTGTTTTAGCTTAATACTTTTGTCCACTTTTAAAGATAACAGCATTTTATATTGTCAGAAACCACATAAGCAAGTGTGTTTGAGATCACTTAACAACTTTGAGGCAAATATGTTCATTTAGAAATGCAGTTTGTATGATGCTAACCTTTTATTGTTCCTTCCATTAGTTGTTAGCTGTATTTCTTTTAAAATGAGTCATGCAATATGTGGTATGACATCAAAGTTTATGAAGTATTTAAGGAGATAATTTATGTTTAGTGTCCAAAGTTTGCTTTTTCATTTCAGTACTGGAGCTACAGGGAGATTAATAACTCTCTCTAGGACGAAGCAATCTGAACAAAACAACGTGCAATGTGCTCCTCAGTATAGTTCAGCGCCGTGTCGAAATATGTCTGGTAGATAACGAACATCACTTCCAGCATCACACGTAATGCAGTTGATTACACATACGTCAAGGTATGTAGCATATTTTTTTTGGTTCAGATTGCTTCATCCAAAGGGAGTTACAGCAGAATATTTGGGGCCTCTTTTGAGTGAATCTCCCTGTATAAGGCTAATAGAGCTAACATGTAATGGAAGCTTATACCCTACCAATTAGCATTGTGCAAACTACAAGCATAAATCATTGCACATTTGCCTCAAACCATTCCGAGGTGTTGAGTAATCTCAAACAGACTTGTTTTTGTGGTTTCTGACATTGTATGACTTACCGTTACCTATAAAAGTGAACAAATTTCCAGTTTCAGAATGGCTAGTACTGCTGTTTTAGCTTAATACTTTTATCCATTTTTACAAATAACAGCATTTTATATTGTCAGAAACCACATAAACAAGTGTATTTGAGATCACTTAACAACTTGACACAGTTTGAGGCAAGTGCGTTCATTTAGACGTGCAGTTTGCATGATGCTAACCTTTTATTGTTCCTTCCATTAGTTGTTAGCTATTTTTTCCTCTAAAATGAACCACACAATATGTGGTATGACATCATAGTTTGTTAAGCATTTAAGGAGATAATTTACCCCATAGGTAGTTCATCAGCCAAGACATGGTTTAGTGTCCAAAGTTTGTTTTTTTCATCTCGGTACTGGAGCTACGAGGCTAATTAGCACTGTGCAAACTGCATGCCTGAATCGTCGCACATATGCCTCAAACCATTCTGAGGTGTAATCTCAAATAGACTTGCTTATGTGGTTTCTGTCACCACTTAACATAATGTTATCTATAAAAATGGATGCATTTCCAGCTTCAAAATGGCTGTTACTGCTGTTTTATCTTAATACTTTTATCCATTTTTATAGATAACAGCTCGTTTACGGTCAGAAACCACATAAACAAGTGTATTTGAGATCACTTAACAACTTGACACAGTTTGAGGCGAGTATGTTCATTTGGACATGCAGTTTGCATGATGCTAACTTTTAGTGGTCACTTCCATTACTTGTTAGCCACATTTCTTTTAAAAACGAGTCACGCAATATGTGGTATGACATCATAGTTTGTTAAGCATTTAAGGAGATAATTCACCCCAAAGGTAGTTTATCAGCCAAGTCATGTTTAGTGTCCACAGTTTGCTTTTTCATTTCAGTACTGGAGCTATGAGGCAAATAGAGCTAATATGTAACAGAAGCTTATACCTTACCAATTAGCATTGTGTAAACTGCACGCCTAAATTATCGCACAATTGCCTCAAACCATTCTGGGGAGTTAAGTAATCTCAAATAAGTTTGCTTATGTGGTTTCATACTTAATCTAAATTCAAGCTTCAAGATGGCTGCCATCACTGTTCTTAGCTATGGAGTGTACTATTGTCCAGTACAAAGCCAAAAAAGCAAACTTCAGACACCAAACGTGTTGGTTTATCAACTAAGGGGATTTTGTGGGTCATATTATTCCTTTAAAACCTGTGAAGATCAACTCAGCCCTGGTTTCAGACCATATAAGATTTATTGGTAATAAATTTAAATGCATCAGCTAAGTCATTTTAGCATATACTGAGCTATCAGACATATAAAATGTTGTGCCAGCATCACCAATGTTTCATAATATAAGACTATTTACACAAGTGAATGTCTGGATGTGCGCTGCAAAGGTTGGAAAATTTCAGACAGGAAGTTAGCACAACTTAGCATGAGACGTTTGTTCTATATTTTGGCACCCTGGAACAAACGGCCCGTAAATATGACTAGTGAGTCTAGTCAGACATCTCCTGAAGTGTTTTACACTACAGGTTATGCAAAAATGTGGATTACACACAATTTTCCTGAGAATTTCTTTTTGGTTTTTCTTTTTTGGGGGTGCGCCTTAAGACTTTTAAAGTCAACCTGATATCAAATTTGGCCCTTTTACCTTGTAAACTTATATATATATAACTCTGGCCAGGTTAAGCATGATTCAACAGAACTTTTCATTTAAATGACAAAATTCCTGTTTTCCTGTTTTCTTCCAGGAGATGGAGAAAAATTATATTACCAACAATATCTTTCACTTCCTCCTCCCATCACCCCCATCCATCATGGAGTGAAAACGTTCAACCAGCTCAGAGAGCCTCCCTCGGAAATACATCATGTAACATAAGAAGAAAGTGCGCTGATTTTTCTTATTCACATAGACTTTAAATAATAGATATATTATTACTACTAATACTAATAACAGTGTTCTGAAGTACTAAAGATCAACCCTACCACTTGCTGAAAAGAGAAGCACGTCCATGAACATCTTGAAAAATGTTATGAGTCTAAAACTTGTTGCAATTACATATGAGACTATAAGACCTATGATACATACTATAACTGTTACTTTACAAAAACACTCCATTCCATATCAAATGCCATATAAGGTATCCAATGGCATGGCTCTTGGGTTCTTTCCCCAAACCCTGCATCATTTGATACAGAATCTCCATTTGTGCACCTAAACAACAAGTGATGTGATGATTTCTTCAGGAAAAGGGTTCAGCTGATCCATTTGGCCATTTGCTTGATGGTGTTCTCATTCAAAAAATGAGCCATGCCACCAGTTTGGAGACTGCTATGGACAAAACTGTCAGTTCCAGGTTCCATGTTAAACCAAGTCTGGATGCGCCGTTATCTCCTGAGCACAGTTCAAACAGGCTCCCCTTGTAGTTTAGACTCCTCGATTGCACTTTGAGCTTTTCCCAAAGGTCTACAGCTCCTTCTTGGCAATCTGCAATTGCGGTGGAGGCGCATGAATGGAAGTCATCCCAGTATCTGTGAAAATGATCATTAAAGACAAGGTTGACACTCTTGTTTTGAAATGCAAACGCATTAATGACAGTGTCAGTTTGGTGGGAAGCCACAAACTACATCAATAAAACCCCCGGGGACACTTTTTTATAATTAAGCTGGACAGGAAAGGAGGTAATGTCAGTTCATCCTGTATGACCAGCAGGGTTTGAACAAGAATGACTACGGGTTCACATATTGAAAAAATATTCAAATTATATTTTGGTTGTTTTTTTCACTCAAAAATTTTTCTTCATTTAAATTATTTTCATTCTTTGCACTGAAATAAAGTGGGACTGCATAAAATTATATCAATTAAAATCTTCTTAAAACATTACTGTGCAAAAGTCAAAAACCACCCCGTTATTTGTTTCATTTCTGGTGAAAAACGGCCATTAAGTACAATTTATTTATTTCTCAGCATCAGAAAAAGAATCAGAACACCTGCATTTAAAAGACAATTACACAAAAGCCTTAACAATTTAATGTAACATCATATTTTTCAGTATTAGGTGTGTCCACTCTTAACCTTTAGTATATATATATATATATATATATATATATTTATATATATTATATATATATATATATATATATATATTTCCACATCTCCAAAGTTCATTCTCACAAGTTGGTTGCATTTTCTGCCTCTCATGATCCAAATAATGAGGTGGAGAGGTCTGGACTCAGGGGTGGTCAGTCCATTGTTCTGAGAACACCAGGAGCTTCTTTGTTTAGTGTGTCCGTCTCCTTTTCTCAGTGAGGTTCTTCTTGACAGCTACACATCCTTTCAGACCCATAGCGCTGAGTCGTCTTCTCACAGTGGAAGGATGGACAGAAACACCTGTGGATGTTTTCAGATCTGAAGCAGCTTGATTTTCTCCTCTCTCTCAAAGATGAAAGCTTTAAGTGCTGTTTATCTGATGGGGACAGTTCTGGTGGTCTAGCAGGTCTTGGATGTGGTTGTTAGGAGTCTCGTTTTCACGGTAGCTTTTAATCATTTTTTAACTTTTTGGAAATTCTTCTTTTTTCCTTCTCCTTCTTTATGCAAGTGGATTATGTTATATCTAATCTCCTCAAAAATATCTCCCAGAAAATGAATAATTTGTACTTAATGGCTGTTTTGACTGAAAATTTAAGTAAATGGATGGTGGTCTCTGGCTTTTGCATAGTCCAAAAGTATCTGTTACTGTAGTTGCACCCATTGTCAACACAAGCATCCAGTTACCAACAAGGTAGGAGTGTCTAATAGAGTGGACAGTGAATGGACACAGTGTTTAAAAACTCCAGCAGCACTGCTGTGTCTGATCCACTCAGACCAGCGCAACACACACTAACACACCACCACATCAGTTTTACTGCAGTGCTGAGAATGATCCACCACCCAAATAGTACCTGCTCTGTGGTGGTCCTGTGGGGTTCTGACCATTGAAGAACAGGATAACAGTGTATGCAGAAAAACAGATGGACTACAGTCTGTAACTGTAGAACTACAAAGTGCTCCTATATGCTAAGTGGAGCTGATAAAATGGACAATGAGTGTTAAAACAAAGTGGTGGTTTTAATGTTATGGCTGATCAGTGTATATTTCATATTTCTCATTCTCATTAAGACCACTTTATACAAGTAAAAATGACTTTTAACATTCTTATAAAAAGCTTATAATGAGAAAAGCCAGACATATTGGCTAGATTTAAGATGATTTCTCTTACAAATACACCATCACACTTCATCTGCTTACAAGAGGAGCATCAGTGAAAGACACTGCTGCATCCTATAATCTTGCTATGTAAAACCGCTGAATTAAAAAGATACAGAATTTTTTATTCAGTTATTCTACGCTGATGATGCAGTTGAACCAACCTCATCTCACAAACCCAAATCTCTTTACCACTGAAATATTACAAAACACGCACTTACGAGCAGATAGTCCGCAGGTTCTCCGTGTCGTCCAGCTCCTGGGGGTAGTTGACCATGTTTTCTCCGAGGCTGAGCAAACAGTCTGAAAATCCTTTAAACACCGTCTCACATGTCCCCGTGCAGCTCGCCACTTGGAGTAAAGACACTGAAATGGAAAACAGTTATTTGAGCCATTGAGAAGTAGACTGTGATGGCAGATTGAATAGCTGTCAATAGCAGTGGATCAAACTGGGAAATTGAAGACCGGTGCTTGTTAATACTTGCTTTGCTTTCCATTTTACGTTCTGTGACACATCCTTTTACATTCTCTACCCGCAATGGATTTCAAGGTTATTGAGCATAGTTTTCATCTTTAAAAGAAAAAACGTAGGCTTGATGATAAATGAAGTGGCTGCGCTCTTAAAAAAGAGGTTCATCAAGGGTTCTTTAGTAAAGAAAATGGTTCTATATAGAACCATGAACACTCAAAGAACCCTTTGCATGATAAAATGGCTCCTTTCATCATGAAAGCGTTCTTCAGACTGATGCAAAGTGTGCATGAATGTGCTATATAAGGTTCTATATAGAACCTTTTTGGATAGCATTCTATATAGCACCCAAAAGGGTTCTTTTATTGTTACAAGCTTGACATTGTAACAATAGAAGAACCCTTTTGGGTCCTATATAGAACGCTTTTTAAAAAGGTTCCACATCTAGAATAATCTAGAATGTGCTGTATATGGTTCTATAAAAAGCCTTTTTGAAAACGGTTCTAAATAGCACCCAAAAGCGTTCTTCTATAGTTACCATGTCAAGCTTGTTACAGTAGAAAAACCCTTTTGGGTGCTATATAGAACCCTTTTCAAAAAGCTTCAATATAAAATCATCTACAGCACATTCCCCATCAGTCTGAAGAACAACTTCATGATGAAAAGACCTATTTAATCATGCAAAGGGTTCTTTGAGTGTTTATGGTTCTATATGGAACCATTTTCTTTACTAAAGAACCCTTGAAGAACCACCTTTTTTAAGAGTGCATATTTTTTTAAGAGGGCAAATCCAAAATTTCATCTTACCATCATCAATTTCTTCACTATACTGGTTCTAATCAATCAACCCTGTTAAAATGACACTGCAAATAGTTCTGTATTTGCCCAGATTTGAAATCTTAGATCTGGAAATGTGAGATTAAGTATCTTGTTTTAAAAGGTTTTACTGGTTTCTATCTTTGAATTCATGGTACATTCTTAAGTTGGTCAGGAATATGTCTTTTATGTCTCAGTTAGGCCCTACGGTGGACTGGTGACCTGTCCAGGGTGTATCCTGCCTTCTGCCCAATGACAGCTGGAATAGGCTCCAGCCCCCCACCCACACACCCCCGGACGAGCCAGAAGGATAAGCGAAATAGAAAATGTAGGTGTGTGTATATGTGTGTGTGTGTGTGTGTCTCAGTTAGTCAGGCAATCTTAAAATTAAGTAATTTACTGGTAAAGAAAAGCTACAGTGCCAATTTGTACCACTTTCAATAAAAAAGAACATTAAAATGTGCTGCTAAACTCTCAGAAAAAAAGGTTCAAAACTGTCACTGGGACAGTACCCCTCTTGTCACTGGGGTGGTCCCCTCAAGGGTACATCTCAGTACCTTTAGTCAGGGAACATAACTGTACAATAATCCATTGAAATTATATGTTCTAAGTTGTATTAGAACTTGGCTTTTTTATTTTATTGTCCTGTTTTAAAACGTTAGAGCATGAAAAGGTACAAATATGTACAACTGGAAAAACTTATTTAAGGTTCACAATTAGACCCAAAAACCACTGTTGTACCTTTGAGGGAACATTTACATTGTTTAAATTAAATAAACGAAGGGTGGTCTCTGACTTTTGCGCAGTACTGTAGGTTCATGTTAGATGTTAGTGAATGACTATTGCTATGTAAAACAATATAACAATGGTAAGTAACCAATAAAATTACATGGTCATTTAGTCACTGTTGTTTTTTTTCATTGATTGAAGGTATTTTCATATGGTGAGCCTGTTAATGTTTTTGCATTGGGGCCTATGAGATCCTAGTTATGCTTCAGCTCTGAATGCGATTTAAGCATCAAAGATTTTGTTACAGTGTGCAGTAATAAGATACAGGGACTCAGTATGTCTCACATCCCAGAATATATTGCTAGTACAGACTCAAAATGTTACACTTTAGACTCAAATGAAGCCATCATGAGCCAAGAGTGCTTGCCAAACAAGAGAAAATCAGAATTTTGCTTTTCTCCCATTTTTAAAAACTTCCAGCCACATCTAAATACAACACAACAAGCTTCAAAAATCTGGCAAAAAGGTAACTTAAACCCCTAAATTCAGTACTACAAAGGCTTTCAAATGGCATTAGATACCATCTCAACATCCTTCAAGTACACTCTCAAAATAGCATGGTTCTTCAAGGGTTCTTTAGTAAAGGGAATGGTTCTATTTAGAACCATAGCTTTGCTTAAATGGTTCTTTGCATGGTGAAATGGTTATTCAGATAGACAGAGAATGGTCCTACATAGCACCAAAAAGGGTTCTTCTATTGCTATAAGTTTGATATCATAACAATAGAAAAACCCTTTTAAGTGCTTTATAGAACCATTTTTACAATCATAGAACCATTCACAACACATTCTGCATCAATCTAAAGAACCATTTTACTATGCAAAGAACCATTTAAGCATGCTAATTGTTCTATATAGAGCTCACAGTTCTCATTCTCTTTACTAAAGAACCCTTGAAGAACCTTCTTTTTTTAGTGTGTAATATAATGTAAGAGAAGGCTCAGAAGAAAAAGCCCTAATTTAATGTCATAACAGTTCACGCAAAAATTGTAAGAACTTTTGTGACTTGATTTGTGCCATAAATGACTACAATTTCTAAGGGAGATGGATAAAAGGTAATTATTCTTAATATAAACAAATAATCTTAGACTTACGGTGCTCAAAGATTCTACATAAAACCACGGCCTGTACTAAAGAACCCTCAAAGAACCATCTTTTTCAAGAGTATAGGACTCAACGTTCTACATAGAACCACTGCCTGTACTAAACAACCCTTTGAAGAACCATCTTTTTTAAGGGTATAGTTCTCCGAGTTCTATATAGAAATACTGCTTGTACTAAAGAACCCAGAGGAACCATGTTTTCAAAGAGTGTAGAACTCAAAGTTATACATAAACAGTGCTTGTACTAAAGAACCCTTGAAGAACCATCTTTTTTCAGCACATAGGATTCAAAATTCTACATAGAACCACAGCCTGTACTAAAGAAGCTTTAAAGAACCATCTTTTTTAAGAGTGTAGGACTCTAAGTTCTACACAGAACCACCACCTGTACTAAAGAACCCCTGAAGAACCATCTTTTTAAGAGTGCAGGACTCAAAGTTCTACATAGAACCACAGCCTGTACTAAAGAAACCTTGAAAAAACAGCTTTTTTAAAAGCGTTGGACTCAAAATTCAACACAAAACCACAGCCTGTACTAAAGAACCCTCAAAGAACCATCTTTTTTTAGGAGTGTAGAACTCAAAATTCTACATAGAACCACAGCCTGTACTAAAGAACCCCTGAAGAACCATCTTTTTAAGAGTGTGTGCTGCGTTCTTACCCAGTTCCAGTAAGCAGAGCAGTGAGCTGAATCTCTCAGCTAAAGTAAATCCCATCCTACGATTCGTGAAACCATCAGAAACAGCAGCTTCAGCCGAGTCGTGCGGAGTCCGCCTGAGGAGAGTCCTGCTCTTTCCTGACCGCTCTCTCTCTGACTGAGCGCCGATGGAGAGATGCAGAGAGGCGGGGCGATCTCTTGACCACGCCCGCCGCTCTCGGACTTACAGAAGAGGATCACTGTACTTTATTTGTTCAATATTTAGTGCGATCACATCGTAAAATGACGCGATGTAGCGAGTTCAGCGATGTGAACCTGAACATTTAACCTACTGAAAAAGCTTCACTGACTAAAACAGCGCATTTGATTGGCTGAGAAAGTGCGCGCCTGCAGTGAAACGAGCCAATAGCAGTATCTTTTAGCTCAGCGCCAACATGTACACACTTAAAAAGATGGTTCTTCAAGGGTTCTTTAGTAAAGAAAATGGTTCTATATAGAAGCATAAACACTTACAGAACCCTTCGCGTGATTAAATGGTTCTTTGCATCATGAAAGGGTTCTTCAGTTTGATGAAGTATGTGTGGTAGATCGTTCCACATAGAACCTTTTTGAAAGGTGTTCTATATAGCCCCCTAAAAAGGTTCTGTTATTGTTATGATGTCAAGTTTGTTACAGTAGAAGAGCCCTTTTGGGTGCTATATAGAACCCGTTTTAAAAAATGTTCTCTGTAGAACCTTATATAGCACATTCACACACATTTTCCATCAGTCTGAAGAACCATTTCATGATGGAAAGAACCATTTAATCATGCAAAAGCGTTCCTTAAAAGTTCATGGTTTTACACAGAACCATTTTCTTCACTAAAGAACCCTTTTTGGTTGTGTTTCAAAAAGGTTCTATGTAGGAACATGAACATGTAAAGAACCTTTTGCATGATTAAAGGGTTCTCTGCATCGTAAAAGGGTTTATCAGTTTAATTGAGAATGTGCGGTACATGGTCCTACATAGAACCTTTTTGAAAAGTCTTCTATATAGCCCCAAAAAGATACTGTTATTGTTACAATGTCAAGCTTGATACAATAGAAGAACCCTTTTTGGTGTTACGCAGAACCCTTTTCAAAAACGTATATAAAACCATCTGCAGCACATCATTCTCTTTGATGTGCTGTAGATGGGTCTATAAAGAACTCAAAGAACTCTTTAATCATGCAAAAGGTTGTTTGAGTGTTCATGGTTCCATATAGAACCATTTTCTTTAGTGAAGAACCCTTCAGGAACCATCTTTTTTAATAGTGTAATAGCTCACGTTTAATAGCTCACGTTGACCATATTAGCATATCAAACTGAAGTGTTGAACAGAGTCCAGTGGAGGCCACTGGGTGACCACTGGTTCTATGTAGTCAAGGGACAAACCAGTGGACGCTTTGCTCATTTTATGCAGGTATTTGTTCCAAATACTCCAAAGTCTCTCCCTGGTGTTGATCTTTACTGATTGTTAGTCTGTGATTGTCACAATATTGTCTGTAGTATTGTTTTTTTATTTTGTGCTCCATTAGAAAAAATGGGGTGGAACAAAACATCTAACCTCTCCCACATTTCTTTTTCTTTGAAAGGAGGTGGGCGGGGCCTTTCTGCAATTAGTATTATATAGGATGTTTTCACTGTTATTTCCTGTTATCCTGTCTTTGGGAGTTCACAGGTTGGTAATGAGCAGCCCCAGCTCAGGGCCTCTTGCTCTGGGGGGCTCAAACCTCTTCTTGACGTGTTTCTGTAGCATAAATAGTCAAAGTGGCATGAAATTTGGTGGAAAGTATCCTGACACCAAGGTCAATAATTCAGAGGTCCAGCTGCCCATCATTTTGAGCACTGTCCAAAAAATGCCCATACAATCTCTGTCCGCTTGACAAATTCTAATAAAAGAAAATTAATATTTATTAACAATTTTTATAATGTCTCATACTTTTTCATTTAGAAATCTCACCAGGTACATGCTTTAAAAAGATGGTTCTTCAAGGGTTCTTTAGTGAAGAAAATGGTTCTATATAGAACCATGAACACTCAGAAAACCCTTTGCATGATTAAAGGGTTTCTTACATCCTAAAAGTGTTTTTTAGATTAGTGGAGAATGTGTTGCATATGGTTCTATGTAGGACCTTTTTAAAAATGGTTCTGTAAAGCACCAAAATGGTTCTTCTATTGTTACAAACATGACATCATTACAATACCAGAATCCTTTTTGTTGCTATATAGAACCGTTTTCATCTGCAGCAAACTGCAGCGTTTTGTACACAACCCCCTGCTGAAAAAAACTATTGATATTAGGTGTTTCTGTTGGTTCCTGATGGTTTTAAATATGTTTGGGCTTTTTTTAATGGGTTGACATCACAGTGTAAAGGACTCTAATAGTTTAACGGGTGACCAGTGGCTGATTCTAGATGTATTTGATGGCTTTCTTATTGGATCGAAAGGTGTTGTACAGGAAAATAGTGGTCTCTTTTGGAAACCATTAAGCCAATTCCCATTAGATAGCAAAACCATTACGTTTCAATCCCAATTGTTTCTTAAAAAACACACTTAAACATCAAAAGTGGGCCTCAGGAAAATAATGTAGAATTTAGACTCTTTAAAATCCTGGAAAATGATCGCCAGTAGATGGAGCCACTTCACCAAAGATACATGGATTCGATCAGCTGCTGTGGTTGTGATTCTGTTCCACAGGACATTCAGTGTGTGTCCTGTTTTATACTGTATTCAGTGTTAACCAGCTAACCTCTCACTAAGGGGCTGATGTGTTAAGGGACCACCCACACTTTGTGGCTATATCATGTACACTAACCTATTACTTCATCTTCCACAACACGTTTTTGTTACAGGTTTTCAGGCAGTTTGTGTTGTTTTGCTTTCATATCATGCTTAACCTCATCTTAAATGTGGCCGCAGCAGTTATGGGGGATCTTGTGTTCCTGCAATCAGCACCGCAGAAAGAGGTCAACTTCTCTCCACTGTTTTCTCGTCTCGTCTTCAGGCGAAGAACTTGGCCAAGTCACATTCCAGCCTGGAGAGATTCACAAGTTGACCACTATGACCACCCCACCCCCACCACCATCATTATAGGCATTCTCTGATATCATTCCACAGACAAAGATCATGTGAAAATGAATAGTCATGAAACACTGTTGTAGATGTGGACTATCACTCAAACCTAGCTTGAGTTACATAATTAGAAGAATAATCAAATATTTAGTAGAAAAGGGTCAGATAATATTTTTTAAATATTATTTTATCTCTCTGTATGCACACACACACACACACATATATATATATATATATATTTATATGTATATACACGTGTATATATATATATATATATATGTATATATATATATATATATATATATATATATATATATATATATATATATATATATATATATACATGTATACTATCGGGTTGAGGTCAGGACTCTGTGCCGGCCAGTCAAGTTCTTCCACACCAAACTCGCTCATCCATGTCTTTATGGACCTTGCTTTGTGCACTGGTGCGCAGACATGTTGGAACAGGAAGGGGCCGTCCCCGAACTGTTCCCACAAAGTTGGGAGCATGAAATTGTACAAAATCTCTTGGTCTGCTGAAGCATTAAGAGTTCCTTTCACTGGAACTAAGGGGCCGAGCCCAACTCCTGAAAAACTACCCCACACCATAATCCCCCCTCCACCAAACTTTACACTTGGCACAATGCAGTAAGACAAGTACCGTTCTCCTGGCAACCGCCAAACCCAGACTCGTCCATTGAATTGCCAGATGGAGAAGCCTGTTTGGTCACTCCAGAGAACACATCTCCACTGCTCTAGAGTCCAGTGGCGGCGCTTTACACCACTGCATTTGACATTTTGCATTGCCCTTGGTGATGTAAGGCTTGGATGCAGCTGCTCGGCCATGGAAACCCATTCCATGAAGCTCTCTACGCTGTTCTTGAGCTAATCTGAAGGCCACATGAAGTTTGGAGGTCTGTAGCGATTGACTCTGCAGAAAGTTGGCGACCTCTGCGCACTATGCGCCTCAGCATCCGCTGACCCCACTCTGTCATTTTACGTGGCCTACCACTTTGTGGCTGAGTTGCTGTCGTTCCCAGTTGCTTCAACTTTGTTATGATACCACTGACAGTTGACTGTGGAATATTTAGTAGCGAGGAAATTTCACAACTGGACTATCACAGTACCACGCTGGAATTCACTGAGCTCCTGAGAGCGACCCATTCTTTCACAAATGTTTGTAGAAGCAGTCTGCATGCCTAGGTGCTTGGTTTTATACACCTGTATCTTCAAAAAGGTAACTTTACAGGAGGAGGAAAAAATCTTTTACTTTTAATGTAAGTCAGTGGAACCAGACATTTTTCCATGTCATTTTGGGCCATTTTCAAATGATGTCAAAAACTGAAGAAAAAATGGAAATACAAGGTTTTCGTCCAACAGCAGCGATATGTACATAGGAATTAGCAATTGTTATTTATTTATTTATTTATTTATTTATTTATTTGTCTGTTTGTTTGTTTTTTGGTAATTCCATTCCCAAAATGTTTTTTTTTCCACAAAATCACAGCAGTGCTTGTTGAACTGCCACATCATTTTCTTAGAAGACATTAATAAAAATAAAAGTGTTTGGCTAACACTTCTGTTATAATGGCTCATAATGATAAAAGAAAACAAACACACTGAGCAGTACATGCATACAATGCAATCCCAGCAAACTGCAGCATCCAGGACTATCCACAACTGAGCAGCGGTGTAAATAGGAAGTTATAAGCATCCCTTTAGAGTTGTTTGTTTCACCTGTTCAGAATCAGAACTTGGCAAAGTCCTGTGTGGAGAAGCAGCTGCTGCGACTCGTGTTTTCTCCTCACTCCAGTAACCGACACATTTGGGGCAACATCACAAAAGAGTTAGCATAGTTCAGGTATTACCATGGGTATTTGATACTCATGCAGTGTTGGCACACTGTCACCGTTCATTCTACCGCTCTTTGCCCATCATTATTATACTCAACTGAGAGACCAAAGTGTGTCCAAACAGGAGGTGAATGCAAGGACAACTTTGCTTCCCCCAGCTCAAGCTTGCTGTCTCCGCTCGCCATTTCAAACAATTAGCTTCTTATTCACCAGCTTATTAAATTAACTGTCGCACCTTTTAAGATGCAATGTAAAATTTGAATAGACGGCCGAATAAGAAGCTAATTTCAGCTTCATTGAACCAACCAAACCCTATTTTTTTCCAGATCTGAGAGATATGCAGCATGCTTGGAAACAATTCTGGTTCCATTGACTTACATTAAAAGTAAAGTATGTATTTTGCTTCTCCTGTAAATATATATATATATACATACAATATTACTGAAGAATAGAACTAAACATTGTCCGATATCACATCTAAAAAGGAAAAAAAAGAAAGGAAAACAAGTGACTCACCTCCTTTTCCTTTCTTTTTCTTCCTTTTTGGATTGGGTAACACAGCTGACCTCCAGTGGAAACAGTGATTAAGATCAGTCAGAAAAGATGGTGTGAATGGTCCCTGGGACTTTGCTAAAGCATTTTTATCTCGTTGGTTTCTTGAGATCTGTTGTGTCAGTTCTGTTCTCATGCAGTTCAGAATGGAGCAATTACCTTAGCAAGCCATATCAACTGTTCGGGTCTGTGTGCTGTTTTTAGCGTTAAGGATCTGCACTCAGTTTCATTTAAAACCATTTCAAAGGGGTGTTTGCGAGGTGTGTGGAGTAAAAAAAGATGTTGCCCCACATCCTGTTGCACATTGCAGTACCCACAACGGACTGCGGCTTACAGCAGAGATGACAGAGATGACTGTGAGAAACATAAGACGCATTAAACTTTCTCATGAGAAATTATTTTTTCCAGTATGTTAAACTCAGCAAATAAACTGTGCTCTAATATAATATGTATACAGTCATCAGAAAAAGTTTGTGTGTGTGTATATATATATATATATATATATATACACACACACATACACACACAAGGGGAAAAACAGGATTTTCCAAACTTGGGGTTCAAATTAATGTTAAATGATAGAAACAGAAAATGTAACCAACGTCTACAACTGACCTTTGCAGGTGTGGAAAAATATGAAGAGCTAAAAGTGAGTCTCCTGAAATGAATGAAACCTGTAATATGGATAAAGAATGATAATGAAGATAAAGATATGGAAAAGAATGGAAAATTCCACGCTAGCCCCAAAACTAAATGTGGTATCAATTGTTTTGGTATGAAGTGACACACTTAATACAAACAAAATTAGATTATATTTAGTTTTTGAGGTTTTTCTGGAACTATATCAAATATATGTATTTAGCTTTTTTACTGACTCTGAAAAATGACCACATTGTACATTTGTGTTGATCCATTCATCATTTTTCACACATTCATCAAATTTGAACACATTGTAAAGTAAAAAATAAATAAACAAACAGAAGACTTCTAAGATATTTTTTTGCAAATAATTATATAGTAATACATTTGAGGGTCCCTGTGATGGGCTGGCGACCTGTCCAGGGTGTATCCTGCCTTCCGCCCAATGGCAGCTGGGATAGGCTCCAGCACCCCACCGCGACCCAGAAGGATAAGCGGTTTAGATGATGTATGTATGTATGTATAAATTTGAGGGTCTAACAATCTATGCAGAATGTTTTTATGATGTTAAAAAAGGTCTGTTCACAGTCGCTCTCATGGACTTACTTAAAGAAAAGGAGATGCATACCCAAACATGGAATAGGAATTGGAATTGGAGCCAGACATTCGCTGAATAAACAGAGAGAGAGAATATTTACATATGTGCAATTATGCAAATCTAACTCTAATAGTATGAAGTGAATGAGGATGCCCCGATATGGGGTTCTTGTGTGACCGCAGCAGCACTGTAGCCACCAGATGGCAGCATTGATAAACAATTACATACACATTGCGGACTCATTATTTCACTGCACATCACTTAAACAAATACTATCATTTGAACTATAACACATTTCTGCTCCAGTGCTCAAGTCTGCACTCACACACCCACATGTGTACACGACTACTTTAATTTTGCTCACAGCTCATTCCGCCGAGAGCTATAATTATCAGCATCTGCTTAGATGGTTTTGTTGCATTTTCTCATTTTGCTAAAGAGCCTGATGGAGAATCAGCTTTTGATGTCCACGTTCTTATGAATTATTAAGTGGTGTAATGTCTTAGGCTATTCAGCTGTAGTTTCCAAAGCTGTGTACAACAAACCAGTATCTGAACATCTGATGACTTGGAAGTTTTCACATGAAAAAACATTATGTAGGCCAGAGGCAATTATTCAGGTCATTGTAGGTCGGAGACATTACTTAGTGTACAAATACAAGGTCGTGTTTGTATGGTTATGTAAGGAAGCCGCTGGTGGAGAGACTGCACTCTAGTGGCAATTCACACTCACTCCCTCACAAACACACACACACACACACACACGCATGCTGAGGCCTGTTGCAGCCTCATTGTTTCCACCATTCATTCCATTGTTCACCATTCATCATTCTGTTGCACCAAAACTCTTTTCCCTTCATTTAAATGAAAATTAAACTCCCTGCACTGTGAATACTTACTATGAAGGGAGACACTTTGTTTTTGCTGTTTTAGTACTCTGTTGCAAAGCCATTTTTGGCAATGACAGCTTTGAGACGTTAGCTTTTTGCCACATTGTGGTTGAGTTTTGGCCACTTCTCTTGGCAAGCCATCTTCAATTCCACCAAAGTTATGAGAGTCCTTCTGATAGACTCACAGTTTCATAACTCTCCAGAAATTTCAATGGGATTCAAGCCAGGAGGCTGGCTAGGTCATGCAACCACCTTCACCTTACTATTTTTAGACACCAGAGGTATTTTGTCTGGATGTGTAAGGCCATCTTGTTGAAACGTCCATCTTCTCCTTGGCCGATGAGTTCAAATTCTCCTTTAACATCTCCATCACTTCATTCATGTTTTTTTCGATGATGTGTTTGCAGAGAAGCGGCCCCGTATCATGATGCTCCCACCATCATGCTTCACTGTGAGCATGTTTTTTAGGATCATACATGCAGATCTTCTTTCTGCCAACATGATGAGCTGGATTACTGCCTAAGAGTTCTATTTTTGCTTCTTCTGAGGAGAGTACGTTCCTCCATTGATCCATCTAAATCAGGGCTGTCTAATCTTATCCACAAAGAGCCGGTGTGGCTGCCGGGTTTCACTTGTTGATTCTACTTGTTCAGTCAGTTGGTCTTAGTCTTCAAATATTTCACCAGGTGACCTCCTGCTTTGCTGGACTGAAAACCAGCAGCAACACCGGCCCTCTGCGGATAAGATTGGACACGCCTGGTCTAAATGCTTGTGTGCAAACTTTTAACCAGAGAAGTTTTGCATGGACTGTAGAAACTGAGATTGCAGGTAAACGCTTATTATTTTCAGTGTTTTCAGCTCTTAGGTCATCCTGCAGCTCTTTTCAAATGACTGCCGCCTTCTGTCTTACCTTCTTTATCATTAGTCTCAGAGAACATTGTGAAATCCTGCTTGTTTTGCATATCCAAGGGCCAGTTAGTTGTGGTTCTGTGAACTTTCTACTTCCATATTATTGAATCAACTGTACGGACAAGGGATGTTTAAGGCTTTCGCTACAGTGTTGTTTCACAATATTGTCCCTGAGAACACTGGAAGCTCCTTCAACTTCACTAAGGTTGCTAAATTTTGCATGAAATCTTCCCAAACAATGGCAACACTGTCATGACGCAATAGGATGACAATATCTAGAATTCAGATCATGCTTTGAAATACTTTTTTTTATTTTTTTATTTCATTTTATGTTTATAAGTACAAAGTCAAAAGACATCACGAATGTAAATGGGAAGTGGACATATGCACTAGAACAAAAGTGTCCGAATACTCATACTGTGTATTTGCATTCAGAAATGTCTTCAAAAATCTGTGCCGGCATGTTAAAAAAGTCTTACATTGAATCCTCCGGTACTAAAAAGTTAATACCTCTACAAACGGAGCGCAGGGAGAGGGCGAGGCAGATAAAGAACAGAGAAAACGCTCTTTTATGTTTGCTAGTAACAGGTGTTATGCATTAATGCTTCATATTACAAGCTTACTACTGATCTTATCACAACAGCAAAGAAGGATACAACCTGCATTTGTTGCAAATGATGCTACATCTCAACACATATTTCATTAATCCTTCATAAGATAGTTGCTTAAGCATATGCAATACTGAATCAGCTCCGTTTGCTCTATACTCTTCATACTAATCACATACATTTCACTCTTTAATGAATATACAGTTGTTGTATACAGTCTAAGAGCAGTGGTTTCTAAATGAGACCGCTCTATATAGGGAGTTATTTATTTACCTATATTTATCAAGGCTGCTGATCTAAATTATATGACGACCTGAAAAGTGTTTCTAGCTCAGCATAAAGGGCAACTTGCACAATTGAGCAGGCTGTAATACCTAATAAAAATGAGCTTAGCATATTAAAACAAAGCATTGTCATGTGGATGTTGATGTTGTCTGATGACTTTTCAATGGTCCTTGTAAATAAGTTGCAGGATGATAAATTCAGGCATCAAGGCATTATAGGCAACGTGGCACTATGTGTTGTTGTAACACAATGCACGTCATAAGTTCATGTATTCAATATTCCAATATGAATGATTTCTTTTTAATGTTAAAAGCCTATTTACAGTATTTTCTTGTCCTCCTTTTAAGCAATAGTAAGCTGCTGGAATTGGAATAAGCAAAAGTTTGTTAGAGTGCCCCCTACTGCTCGACTGCCCACAATACTGAAATCCACCCTAGATGCAAAAGCACTGCTCAAAAGCTATATTTAAGCCTCAGCTCCACCATGTGGTCCTTAAGGACACAAGGGGCCAAATTTTTATGGGAAAGAAAGGATGGTGTCACTCTTTCTCCCACAGTTATGTTATTTAGTAGGCCTTTCTCTAGCTTGTTTTCAATGGCTAAAAGAATAGCATTCTCCTCCAAGCGTGTTGAAGCGCTAAACATTACCGAGTAGCCAAGAGTTCATAAATAAGCCTTCACAGTGGTCTGAACTGCCAGATTTGTGTTACTGTTGTTAGTAGTGTAAACATTGCCACGTCAGGAACTACTTAGGACTAAATTGCAAGCTAAATGAATTTGTGTAACAAATTTAGATGCCACTGAAAGACAAAAGATCAAGGGAATACATTACATCAAGGGAAAATAGATGCATTATGCTTTTGGTCATAGGGTACAGATCATCTAGTTTTAAGAGAGAAATTAATAAGAACAAGATGGCTACACAACTAGCAGACATTAGCTAAGCTATGCCAGCTTCGCAGGTCACATGCTAAAAATGCATGTCACATATACAATATGATAGCTGTTGAATTTATGTTAAATATGTCTGTGAAGTCCCCAAGACCTCCACCTTACTACTTTGCCTTACTTTACTTTTAAAGATTAGTTAGTGACCTATGAAAACGTAAAGGGGCCTAAAGCTAGTGTTCAATTCGTTTTACCAGTATCCTGTAGTTTAGCACTGCAAGAATCAGCCTTGTTTTTTTGTCAGACTTCAAGATTTTGAATCAAGCTTTTCGGCCATCAGTGTTCTCTCACTACAATACCCAGCATGCATTACACAAACACATCACACAACCCTTGGGTAGATAGCAGTGTTTGCTATCTGGCTGCTTTCTGCTTTAGCCAGGGAGCAGGAATGGAGGAGCTGGGGTGGGGTGGAGTCAAACAGCCTGCCCCAAAGCAGTTTTCAAAGAGTTCCACCCACCTTAAAGATACATCATCAGAAGGGGGTAAATCTCGCTCTAGAAACTGTGGCACCACTGTAGCAGGTGAGTCAGTGTGTATAAAACAGAGAAAGATGTGCTCACATTTCTTAATTTTTCATTTTGGCCAGAGTTCCCCTTTAATACATTACGAGATTGTTATGTAGAACAGCTTACAAAGGTCCCTCTGGCCTTTTAAATGTGTATGTGCAATGTATGTAAATCTGATTTACAATGTATGCAAATCTGACCTCGAGTTTAACCCAGAAAATACATTGTCTTAAAACCTGTTGCACTTCCTTTCTAAAAAATATGAAAACTGCAAAAATGAGTATGAACTGGCAAAATGGCCTGTTCTATGTATGCCTGTAAAAAAGCACTGTAAAAAAAAGCTATTCGATAAGTCATGACAATTATTAATTATGACTTAATATCTCATAATAATGACTTAGTGACTCATAATAATGAAAAGGTTTATCATAATTATGACATCTCAGAATACTTATTATTTTACAACAAGAAAATTATCTCATAACTATGAGACAGTAAGTCATGATTATGAGAACGTAAATCATAATTATGAGGTACCAAGTCATATTTATGAGAAAGTATGTCATATGACATAGCTATTATTATGAGATGCTGTCATAATTATGAGATTGAATCCCATTATTATGAGATGCTATGTCATAACTATGAAATAGTCGCAATTATGAGATAAAAAGGGATAATTATGACATTGAAAGTCATTATTATGAGATAAAAATGGACAATTATGACATTGAAAGTCATTATTATGAGATACAAAGTGACAATTATTAGAAAGTAAGCCATTATTATGAGATGCTAACTCATAATTATGAAATGTGAAGTCATATTTATGAGATCAAATCTCATTGCTTCGAGATACTAAGTCATACTTATGAGAAAGGAAGTCAATTATGAGATGCTAAGTCATAATTATGAAATAGTAAGTCGTCCTATGAGATGTGAAGTCATTATTAGGAGATAGTGAGTCGTAATTGTGAGATGCTAAGTTATAATTGTGACACAGTAAGTCGTGATTATGAGGTAGAATCTTATTATTATCGGATAGCAAGGCATAATCACGGAAAGCTTTCTCGTGATTATGACTTACTACACGGCTACACATGGTTTCCAGTGGCGGAATTGGGCTTCCAGAGTTGTTCTGATAGGTTATAACTTGGTGTGATTATAGTCCCTCCCCCTTTAAACGCGAGCGAGACGCCCATGAGAAGGTAATCTATTATTTCCACTTTCATCCTCACTTGTTGCTCTTCTCTCATCAAGGGGCCTGTAAATCAGACTACGGTCAGCGCAGAGCGAGCTCTAAAAGAACCGGTAGTGTTAGTCAGTCTGAAGTTTCTGCCCCCTCCTCCGCTCTGGTCTGGTCAGACCCCTCCCGTAGAGATGCTCCCCCAGGCGCGCGAGCGGCAGCCTCACTAGCCTCACTACCGCACGTCCCCTTGGAGACTAGGAGCACGTGATGCGTCCGCTTATCAGGTTTAGTGAGCAGCGCTTCGGTACCGACTCGGAGGGAGGAAAAAAAAAGGAAGAAAAGTGAGTTTTCGGACTGCTGCTCGTCGACTCGGTCGACGGTTTTGCTCGCCGGAGGCCGTTAGGAAAGCGAGTGATGCAGAACACTTAGTTGACGAACTTTTGCACATCCTCCAAAACGCCATTTTGGTCGCTCTCCGGAACAAGTTTGCATTTTTTTCCTCCTCTCTCTCTCTCTGTCTCTCTCTCACTCGCTCCCTTCAAAGTCCATCCTCTCTTTTCACCATCCTCACCGTCTCTCGGCCCAACGGACAACTCGAACGTAAGTAAGTCATTTCACCCCCTTTTTTTTTCCTCAACTTTTTCTCTGTTTACGTTCTCGCTTTTGGTCGAAGGGCAACTTTTGAGTGGATGGGGGGGGCAGAAAAAGGAGAAGTTTTGAAATGGGAAGGCCTAAAAGATGTGAAGGTGATGAATTTTTCCCCCCTTCCTTCCTTCCTTCCTTGTGTGTGTGCTGCCTACTTTCATTCTCTCATCCTAACGCGTGTAGGAATGTGCTAGCCTCGCTGCCCTCACCACTTCTCGCCCACTTTCAGCTGCTACCTGTTGAAAACACGACATATTCTGCTTTGTGTGGCTACGTTTTCCTCAGCTCGGCTTCTTTTCGGTCTGAATCGAGTGATACGGACGGAAAAAAGTTCGTCCGAGCATCCAACATCTTCGTACTTTGGTCGGAGCCAACGTGTGTCTGTGAGGAGGAGGAGGAGGAGGAGGAGGAGGAGGGGTAACGTTAGTGCTGGTGAACACGCTTCCCTTTCTGTTTTGACCTTGTCAGGACGTTTGCCTTCACTCCATTTGCACTTTTCCTTCGTCTTTTCGATGTTTGCCGCTGGAAGATGCTTCCCTGAAGCCTTTTTAGTGACGAGGCTCAGGTCGGCTTCCTATTCGCCAGCTTCTGGGTCGAATTTTCCCCGTTCCACCTTAAATGGTGCATGAGATACATGTAACTGCTGCACCATTTAAGGTGGAACGGGGAAATTCGAAGAAGAAGCTGGCGAATGAGAAGCTGAATTCAGCCTCGTTTTCTGCTGTGCCTGAAGGGAAGTCGAGTGGGAATCAGCGCAAGTCTGAAGTTTGAGGAAGTTGACACAGCTAGAGCAGCACTTAGCAGCTGGAAGTGAACTTAGCAGCTAGAGAAGATGTAGCTTACAGACTTTCACTGCAGCCATTAAAGGGCCACTCTGACCGTAATGAAACGTAACCTTTGTTACGTCAGTTATAAACATGCCTACTGACCTCCTACAGTGGTGCCGTCGTAGTCTAGTGAAGTTTTTTATGGTTTAAAAACTAGGAAAACTCCCTTCTAATGATGAATCTTGGAGGTGAGAAAATCCCACCCGCTTTGGGATGGACTGTTTCAGTTTTATTTATTTTTTCTGCCAGCTGGCTAATAGGGAAGGAAACCAGAAAGCCAACGTTATGAATGTTACGATAGTGTTTATTAGCCTCTACATCATTGATAGAGCAGGTAAATCATTCCCAGTGGTTGTATGATGACTGTGCACAATGCATGCTGGGTATTGTAGTACGTTCTGTCAAACTGTTGAAGCTGAGGGATGCAGTGCACTACAGAATATTGCATGGCATGACCAATACTCTATTAAATGCTAGTTTTAGGCCAGAAAAGCTTTAGAGAGGGTTTTTTTGGGGAAAAAACCTTCTAATGATGCATCTTGAAGGTGAGAAAACTCCAACCGCTTTGGGATGGACTGTTTCAGTTTTATTTATTTTTTCTGCCAGCTGGCTAATAGGGAAGGAAACCAGAAAGCTAATGTTATAAATGTTACGATAGTGTTTATTAGCCTCTACATCATTGATAGAGCAGGTAAATCATTCCCAGTGGTTGTGTGATGACTGTGCACAATGCATGCTGGGTATTGTAGTACGTTCTGTCAAACTGTTGAAGCTGAGGGATGCAGTGCACTACAGAATATTGCATGGCATGACCAATACTCTATTAAATGCTAGTTTTAGGCCAGAAAAGCTTTAGAGAGGGTTTTTTTTTGGGAAAAAACCTTCTAATGATGCATCTTGAAGGTGAGAAAACTCCACCCGCTTTGGGATGGACTGTTTCAGTTTTATTTATTTTTTCTGCCAGCTGGCTAATAGGGAAGGAAACCAGAAAGCTAATGTTATAAATGTTACGATAGTGTTTATTAGCCTCTACATCATTGATAAAGCAGGTAAATCATTTCCAGTGGTTGTATGATGAATGTGCACAATGCATGCTGGGTATTGTAGTAAGTTCTGTCAAACTGATGAGGCTGAGGGATGTAGTGCACTACAGAATATTATGGCATGACCAATACCCTGTTAAGTAGAGTTAGAGCTAGTTTTGGGCCAGAAAAGCTTTAGAGAGAGTTTTTTTGGGGAAGAAACCTTCTTATGTATCTTGAATGTAGGAAAGCTGAATCTGCTTTGGGGCAGAAATATAAAGGCAGGCTGTTTTGAATGTTATTATTTTCTGCCAGCTGGCTAATGCTAAATAAGGCCAGATAGCTGACGTTACAGTTATCATGTTTGTATTTATTAGCCTCTACATTAGTGGTAAATCAGGTAAATCAGTCCCAGTGGTTGTATGATGTGTTTGCGCAAAACAATGGTGGATGAAAAAACAGAGCAGATTGTAAATTCTCTCAAAATGGAAACGGCTGAGAGATGCAGTGCCGTGCTACACAACATTACATAGCATGACCAATAACATATTAAATGCTAGAATGCCCCTTTAAGAAGAGCTTGGAGTTGTTTCAAGCTTGGATGATGAAGACGAGTTGAAACACATGTTTCCATATGCCACAGTGCAGCTGCTTTTTTTGCTTCTTTTGCATCGTATTCATGAGGTCCCCCTGATGCAAGCCTTCGCCCTGTGCCCTCCTCCCTTCATCCTCCCGTTAGCTTTTCTCTTTGGAGAGGCAGAAAGGGCAGATCCGGATGAGCAGTTCACATTCCACTACGAAATTCTACACTCGTCTCAAGGAGGCCTGTAGATGCGTGGCCATCCACGATGTGCTACTTGGGGCTGTATCGTCGACAGCTTTGTCTAACCTGGCCTTAAAGTGTTAATTATCTTTAGAAAGTACACACAAAAGTGCAGGTGCATTTGCAAGGTTTTTGAAAGGCATGCTAATAGCATACTGTCATAACTTTTGCTTTTTCTAGGGAAGTTTCAAAAAGCTTCTTTCTTGGCTATCTAATACATAGAAAGTAATACGAAGCAAGTCTTAAGTCCAGGCGGACTCCTCGTTCTGTTCTTCGCTGCTGAAAAGCCCCAGCTGATGCAGGGTGGAGAACTGTTTGTTCTGTACGATTACAACCGATTCAGACAGGCAAAACTAGAGGAGTCTTAAAAAAAAAAAAAAGAATAGCCCAGAGACTCAGCTGAAGGAGCGCTCAAGCAGCAGACTGTGCTGTAATCTCCTGTGCTCCCAGCAGGGAGTCGGCAAGGCTGAATAGATACCGGTCAGTCTGAGGGTCAGATACTGATGCGTTGCAGGGAAAGGCTTCGTCTTATTTTAGCTTTTTCGCACAATTGTACACAGCTATCACATCCGTAACCAAAGCCTGATTGCAGATAAAAGGGATTAGCTCAAGATGCTCACGTTAGTACGTAATTCAGACATTAAAAAGTGGTGTGAAACACTAAGTGTGGGAAGTAATTGCCCCTTTTGTCATCTCAAGCAATGATGGATGCAGACACTTCCTGTGGTCACTGATCTAGTCATTTTGACACATTCTTCCCTTTTTAGTCTTTAGTTTTCAATCACATTCCTCATTGAGTGCCCTGTTACAACATCTCGGTAGTTTTTTGGCCCATTTAAAAAATGAGAAGTTTGTTTAATTATTCATTTTGAGCCAATAGAGTGGCGTCTTTATTCGAAACAGCAAAAATAAGAGGCTGAAAATGTGACGTACGTGAATTTGTTTAGTTTTTCATTTTTTTTTAAAGCATTGGACATTATAGAAGTACAATGTGGAGATGGGCAATATGATGTATTTTAGGCATTATTGTAATACATTTTGTTATTGTGTTAAGTAAGGGTGGGCAGTGTGACGATATTTATTCAATATTGTGAAAAATTACATATGGTTTTCTGCATATTGTGATATCATATTGTATATCGTGAAAATGTCTAAGTATTGTGATATTATATTTTTTGCTATATTGCTCATCCCTAGTGCTACATAATATGCATTTCTGAGAGGAACACTGAACAACTGTAGCTTTTATTACTAAGAGAACATAATTAGTCCCGTTTAATTGGATTTAGTGCATTAAAGCGAGTAATGTGAAAATGTTTTTACGTGTTGTGATATATTTTTAACGCTTTAGCCACAAGCTAGTATATAAGCCCCAAACAAGCATGCTGGTTATGAGGCAACATCATGTGATACAGTTTGATGCTATACAATACTGTTATACTGTTACATCTTTAATTTTGAATCATTGCTTTGTTGCCCAGCTTTTTAGCCTAAATTCCTTTGTCTTTAATTCTGACGTTAAGTTCTTTGACTATGAGCAAAATTACCATCTCTTTTATTGCTGGCAAATCATTTCAGTTCCAATGTTATAAACTGTCCCCATGTAACTTCAGTTCCAGCACCTTGAGTTTGAATGTTGAATGGAGGTTAGATTTTCTAACATAATGTACTTAATATCATTAAGAAAGAGCTTTTGATCCAGTTGTTTCGCTCCAGTTGAAGTAATGAGCACTGTCCATAGTTTAGGAGAGGCAAGCTTGCAGTTCTTCTAGGATTACATGTTGTTTGATGGATGGTTTTTCATGCATGTTGGTAGGACAGTTACAAAGGCTTGGTGGAGCATCACAGGCTTGATAATTACTTTGTATAGTTACTTTGCACCAAATCAGACCTGAATAGAGTTGGGAATGTCCAAAAAATGGTGCAAATAATTCTTCGCATGTAACTTAGCATGTTTGTGTTTGATGTCATTTACTCCCTAATGGTCTTTGCTTATGTAGACTAGTAAAATATAAAACCTTGTCAATGTTTTCCGTCTTTTACAATGAGCAGTTGAAGGGTTTCGTATCAGGGCACTTTCAAAAATTTCAGTTTTTCGTGATATACATTGTTGGGAGTGGATTTTAAGCAGAAAAGAAATATTGAAGCTATAATATGATCACTACCACCTTAATTAGAGAAAAATAATGTTGTCTGTCATTTATTGAACCCTAAAAACTCCAAGAACACGTGTTAAAATCGTAAATTTGTTTATGAAGCCAGGGATTGGATGGAGAGATGGAGGGAT